TTCTCATTTATGTCATCCATTGAACCAAAGAAGATAGATGAAGCATTGAATAATGTTGATTGGGTGAATGCTATGCATGAAGAATTGAATAATTTCATAAGAAATCAAGTATGGAAATTAGTGGAGAGACCAAAGGGACACAATGTGATTGGAACCAAATGGGTCCTTAGAAACAAGCAAGATCAAGATGGGATAGTAGTAAGGAACAAAGCAAGATTGGTAGCACAAGGCTATACACGAGTTGAAGGTCTTGACTTTGGAGAAACATATGCCCCGATTGCTAGATTGGAAGCAATTAGAATCTTGCTAGCATATGCTTGTGTCCACAACATCAAGCTCTATCAAATGGATGTCAAGAGTGTATTTCTCAATGGTTACATCAATGAAGAAGTATATGTTGAGCAACCTCCCGGGTTTGAAGATGACAAGAAGCCCGACCATGTGTACAAGTTGAAGAAGGCATTGTATGGCTTGAAGCAAGCACCTAGAGCATGGTATGAGAGATTGAGGGATTTTCTACTCTCTAAAGGGTTCATGATGGGTAAGGTTGACACCACTCTTTTCATCAAGAAGATTGGAAAAGATTTATTTGTGTTACAAATCTATGTTTATGACGTCATATTTGGATCAACCAATCAAGACTTTTGTGATGAGTTTGGAAAGATGATGACTAATGAGTTTGAGATGTCCATGATTGGATAATTAAGTTACTTCCTTGGTCTTCAAATCAAGCAATTGAAGAATGGTACATTTGTGAGTCAAGGCAAGTATATCAAGGATATGATCAAGAAGTTTGGCATGAGTAATAGCAAAGCCATTAGCACACCAATGGGAACAAATGACAACTTGGATAGTGATGCAAGTGGAAATATGGTGGATCAAAAATTATATCGGTCCATGATTGGAAGCCTACTCTATGTGACCGCATCAAGGCCGGATGTCATGTTTAGTGTATGCATGTGTGCAAGATTTCAAGCCTCACCAAGAGAAAGTCATTTGAAGGCTACAAAGAGAATATTGAGGTACTTGAAGCATACATAAAATGTTAGTTTGTGGTATCCCAAAGGAGCAAAGTTTAAGCTAGTTGGTTACTCCGACTCGGATTATGCGGGATGCAAGGTTGAAAGGAAGAGCACCTTGGGCATATGTCGATTGTTGGGAAGATCACTTGTTTCATGGTCATCAAATAAGCAAAATAGTGTTGCATTATCAACCGTTGAAGTCGAATACATATCCGTCGGTAGTTGTTGTGCACAAATACTTTGGATGAAGGCCACTTTAAGTGACTTAGGAATCAAGTTCAAGAAAGTGCCATTGCTATGTGACAATGAGAGTGCAATCAAGTTGACCAACAATCCAGTTCAACATGCAAGAACAAAGTACATTGATGTTCGTCACCATTTCATAAGAGATCACCAACAAAAAGAGGATATTTGCATTGAGAGTGTAGGCACCGAAGATCAACTTGCTGATATATTCACCAAACCATTGGATGAGAAAAGGTTTTGTAAGCTAAGGAATGAATTAAACATATTGGATTTCTCAAATATGTGTTGATGCACCCCCCCCACTCATATGACATGCCTCTCCTTCAAGCAATCCAAGGTAAAAGTTGATTGGCATAGCATACATCCTTGCTAAGGACTTGTTTAGTGCATCTAGACATCTTTCATATTTAATAGGCTCATTCACGAAAATCAAATGAATTTGATGATTGTATGGTACCACTATTGCTTCTATGCTTATTTTTGTCTAGTGGTAGCATATGACATGTTTGTGGGCTTGTAAACCAAGTGTTTGATCTAGAAAATGAGCTCTAAGTGTTTAATTCAACATGGTACAAGATAACCCTTATTTAGAGGTGTGAAGAAGCTTGTCCTTGGATCAAACTAAGTTAAATATCTTTGGCAAATGATCTAGATTGGACCAAATTTGGGAAAATGATCCTCACCCTATTGATTGATATTGATAATCTCAACCTATCTACATTTTGAACCTTTGTGGTCATTGATGACAAAGGGGGAGAAAAACAAAGATATTAGTGCATGAGGAGAAAAATAAAGATATTAGTGTACTAAGATAATGAAAAGACAACAAAGGGGGAGCAATTAAAATTTTGAGCACACAAGTAGGGGGAGCAATCTCATGAACTTATATGGTGCATTTGAATGTGCATTTCATATGTTTGTTTGCGTGGCACAAGTTTTAAATTTCAATATCAATGCTTGTGTGGTGTATGCTAGTTGTAGGTTTGAATGATGAAATAAAAAACTAGCATGCATAGGTTATCTAGTGATTTCATTTCTAAGTGGTATCGAGCTAACTATGGTGCTAAGGATGGTATATTGGTGCACTTCAATTGGTATCACGCTTCAAAGGTCCATCTTTTATACCTTAGCATCATTTGGTAGACATTGTCTCCTATATTTCCTATCTAAGCATATGTGCAAGCTACAATCCAAACTCTTAGCACATATGTAGAGGGGAGCAATTGCTACCATTTGGGGTTCATAAAACTTGTCCATATCCTTTTACACATAGTAAATATGCTTGGACAAGCAACATGAATTCAATTAAATTTTAATTCATATCTTTGTGAAAAGATTGTCATCAATTACCAAAAAGGGGGAGATTGAAAGTTCTAGTTTGGTTTTGGTGAATTGATGAAACCCTAAGTGCTAACCTAGTTTATCAAAGTGATCATGAGATAGGTAGCACATTCCAAATGGTGAAGCAAATGAAGATCATGACATGATGATGGTGATGCCATGATGATGATCAAGTACTTGGACTTAAAAAGAAGAAAGAGAAAAACAAAAGGCTCAAGGCAAAGGTATAAATGGTAGAAGCCATTTTGTTTTGATGATCAAGACACTTAGTAAGTGTGATCACATTTAGGTTCGATAGCCATACTATTAAGAGGGGTGAAACTCGTATCAAAATGCGGTTATCAAAGTGCCACTAGATGCTCTAACTCATTGCATATGCATTTAAGATCTAGTGGAGTGCTAACACCCTTGAAAATGTTTGTGAAAAATGCTAACATATGTGCACAAGGTGATACACTTGGTGGTTGGCATATTTGAGCAAGGGTGAAGAAGATAGAGTTGAAAAGGAGTTAGTCATGCTGGTCACACAGTGATCGGATCGCTAGGGTCCTACATCCTGTCAATGGAAGCATTGAAGACGCTGGCGTCGGTCTTCGACCGGATGCTAGGTCACTGAGTGACCGGACGCTGATGGGGTGCGTCCGGTCCTGCTGACATGGCAACACACAGTGAAGAGGGTGACTGACCGGACGACGGGTGAGTCCGGTCAAGGGTGACCGGACGCGTCCGATCGTGAAAAATCATCTCTGGATTCTTACTGGAAACGACCGGACGCTGAGGTCCTGCGTTTGGTCACTTCAAAGCAGCGCGTTCGGTCACAACTTAAATGTATTGATGATCGTTGAGATCGAGCGATCAGCGTTTGAAGCAGGGGACATGTGGCGTGCATCCCACGACCAGACACTGAGGTCCAGCATCCGGTCAATCTGACCGACGCGTTCGATCGCCCCGTGTTCAGTGCAGTAAGGAGCCCAATGGCTCTATTCATGGGGCTCTATATTTAAGCCCCATGGCCAGCTCAAGCTCACTTTCTCGGCCATTTGCATTGACATAGCAACCTTATGAGCTTAGCCAAAGCCCTCCCACTCATCTCCATCATAGATTCAACATCTTTGTGAGATTGGGAGTGAATCCAAGTGCATTGCTTGAGTGTTTGCATCTAGAGGCACTTGGTGTTCGTGTTTGGCTATGGGATTCGCTCGTTACTCTTGGTGGTTGCCGCCACCTAGATGGCCTGGAGCAGCGAGGATCGTCAAGTGGAGGTTGGTGATTGTCTCCGGCTCCGATCGTGGTGATTGTGAGGGGTTCTTGACCTTTCCCTGATGGAGAGCTAAAAGGTACTCTAGTGGATTGCTCGTGGCTTGTGTGATCCTCATCTTGTGTTGGTTGTGCAGCACCCTATTGAGGGTTTAGCGTGTGATGCCAATTAGCGTGTGAACCTCCAAGTGAGTGAATCGCCACAACGAGGACTAGCTTGTCGGCAAGCAAGTGAAACTCGGTAAAAAATCATTGTGTCATCATTTGATTTTGAGGTGATTGGTCTTCATTGTTATTCATTCTTGTGATTTATTGGCTCCTTCCTCGATACGGCGGTATAACCATCTTGCTCACTCTCTTTACATTACCTTAAACTAGTTGTCAAGCTCTTTAGTGTAGCTAGTTGTGAGAGCTTGTTAGTTTAGTTAGTGTGGCTCTTTAGTTAGCATTTGAGAGCACACTAACTTAGTGTAGTGACATAGCTTTTGTGTTGATAGAAACTATATAAACTAGAATTGTGGTAGGTGGCTTGCAATTTTAGTAGGCTAACGCAACACTTGCTTCACCTCATAATTGTCTAACCGGTTTATTAAGTATTGTTGTAGAAATTTTTAATAGGTTATTCACCCTCCCTCTCTAGCCATTAGGACCTTACAGTAGGCCTGACAAGGTTTTCAAGGACAAGGATGTTAATTTAGTGGCCAAGCACCTTAAGGAGTACACGAGGCTATTAGCCCAACTCAGGTGTACAACCACTTGAGGAAGTGGAAGCGGAAGTGGGCTAGGATATGTAAGCTGAAAGACCTTAGTGGGTCCCTGTGGGATAGTGATGTGAATGCAATCATGCTAGAGGGGGAGCACTACCTTGGGCACTGCAAGTTAGATTAACTAAGATGCTTTCCTCATCTTTGCCTTTTCTGTCTTTCTGTCAATTACCTAAACTGTATCCCCTCTTATAGGACCACCCTAAGGATGCTAAGTTCCTTAACTATCCTATTAGGTTCTACCCAGAGATGGAGGCCATCTTTGGTCATGCAATGGCCACTGGTAGGTTTGCACTAGGTTCTGGTGAGGCCCTTGGGGTCAATCAGGCTGATAGTGTAGCTGATAAGGCTGAGGGGACTGCCTTGAATAATGGTTGAGGAGAAAACCAACATTGAAGTTGGTAAGGGCATCAAAGCCACAGAGTTGTTGGCCACTTTTGGGGTTGGTGGGAAGAGGAAGAGGGGCACATTCACTGAGGATGAGATGCTCTTGCTCACCAACATGTTAGATGTAGTGAACAATGTTGCTAATGCTTTTAGGAAAACTGGTCTAGCCCATGTTGATGCTAATATCTACCTTGCTGTTATGGAGACTCCTAGCTTTTCTGAGGAGGCCCTCATAGTGGCCTACACCTACCTGCTGGACAACAAGGCCCAGGGCAGGGGATTTGTTGGCATGAGTGACAGCCATAGGGACATTTGGCTTAGGAACTACTTAGCCAAGAACTACTACATGTAGTTCCACTACCTACTAGGCTGCATGGCAATTGAGGGGTTGACTATTGAGATGTATAGTTCCTCCACCTCCTTCACTCACTCTCTCCTCTTTTGACTACAGTTGAGCACACTTTGTTGTAGGTATTTTGTGCAACTTACTTTGCTGACTCACACCTATTCTTTTGGTTAGTTTACTAGGAGGGTGGCTAACTATATGTGCTAGAGGGCACCATGGTAGGCATTTGAGCCCTGAATTGTTGGGCAGAACATGTTCTTGTAAGCCACTATTTGTAGCCTCTATTGGCTACTTTATTTCAGACCACTTGATGTTTATTGTCTTACTTCTGTACTGTTGGTTTTTGTTTGTTTGGATTGGTGACAACTGTGAGAAATTTAAATGGCCTATGATGCAAACTGTCAAAAAAATAAGGTGGCTACACATATGAGAATGTTGTTGTTGTTTTTCATGGCTTCTTTTTTTGCTGATTTTCATGATTGTCATTAGATCTATTTGGACCATCCATTCTCTAGCAACTCCACAAGGTTGATGGCAGAGAATGGATGGCCAGATAGGTTCCATGCCAGCCCTGATGTTGGGTTCATACTTAATTGGTACATGTGCAGCCACCAATGAATTAACATTGATGAATTCGAGCAACAAATTCTAAAGTTGAGGCCTGTGTTGGCTCTATTTCTGTCATTTGTTGGATTTGTTGGCTATATGTACTACATGTTGGTTTTGTTTCTTTGTCTTGGTGGCAACTGTGGGAAATTGAAATGGCCTATGATGCAAAGATATAGATGAGGTGGCTGCCCTGTTTACTTGTTTCCTGTTCTTTGTCATGTCTGTCATCAAACCCATGCGTCACGTCCATTCCCTAGCAACAGCACCTTCTATCTAATGTTGATGGGAGTGAATGGACGTGCGCAAGGGTTCCATGGCAGCCATGACTTTGGGTTTGCACTTTTTCTAATCTTTTGTTGTAATGGATTTTTATTTGTATGGCAGCCACCAATGACTTAACTCATGAATTACACCACCACATTCTAAAGCTGAGGCCAATGTTTTTATAGATTTCCTGTGATGTCAAAACTGTTGGTTTCATCTCGATGATGCTGGTCATCAGTGAGGGGCTTGAGATCAATGATTTGGTTTTTATCCAAAATCGTAGATCTTCAAGTTCCACACTCATGACAAGTTTCATTTTTTATATTTGACTGAGGCTAAACCACTATTTCATTTGATAGAAATGGGCCCTTGCTATGTGGTTTTCAAGGGGAAGAAACCTGAAATTTATTGGAATTGGCATGACTACAATGAACAGGTTCTTGGGGTAAAAATGATATACACAAGAAGTATAGTACCTATGAGCAGGTTGTTAGAGATTTTAATCCATCAGTTGGAGCTCTAACACCACCTCCTGACTTGTTCCAATCTCAAACTAGTGCTACCATGGCACCAGATCATGGTAAGAATGTTGTGGCACCAGTTCACGGTAAGACTGTTTCTTGGAACATTGATCATTGTTACTCTTTTGCTGCTGGTCTTTGGACTTTGGTTCAAGCTGTCAGTGTGCAGCCAATGTAACTGTAGTTTTTAGGCCGATGATGACAGACTTGTAAGGTTACTTAGCTCTCTCCATGTTATGTTGTTTTCTGTAATCCCTTCCTCAGACCTGTGACAATTTGTTCATCTCCTTTGCTTTTTGCTTGTAATTTGGAGTCGGCTATGGTTGCAAATTATGTATTGATGATGTCTAAGACCTATTAGTGACATACTTATTAGTGACATACTTAATTTTTCTTAATTGTTATGATTCTATTTCAACTCCATTACATATTCAAATGATGTTGTGGTCATTGCTTTGATATGTGTGAATTGTTCTTCCTCACTTTGGGCCGGACTAACACTGCCCCACACCAAACGCCATCTCAAGATGGCAATTAGTGGTAGTTGGTCCTCAGGCAGCCTCTCACCTGGGAAATCAAACATCTCAAATGGGTTTGGTCGGATTGGTACAGGAAACCAAACAAGAGGGGTTGCACCCCTTGGGCCGGGCCGTGGCTAGCCTGGGACAGGCCTCAGGGCCCAGCCGGCCACAGCCACCGTTGCAAACACGCCCGCAGTTTGTATTTTTCTAAGCCTAACAAGCGGCATTGGGATGCTCCATGTGTACACTCCATACTGCCGACACGTCTCACTAGTTTAGAATATACATACATCGATCACCTGTGGAAATATTTGTCAGGAACATAATAACTTAGGACCTGATCAAGGGGTGCTGATGGGGCTAGTGCCGTGGTAGGTGGTATTTCCCTTATTAAGTATCATCCATAATCTGATACCGATACACCAGTGTCCCAACCCAACCATCATGTTCACACAAATTCTCAGCTGTTGCTGTGTACATTTGATTAGTAGTAGTAAAGATTAGAGTGCATTTCAACCCATTCTCAAAAAAGAAAAGGGTGCATTTCAACCCTTTTGTTTATTTTGCGAGGAAGAGGTAGATGCAGAATTAAAGATGCATCATCTCGTTTTGTCAAAAGAAGACATGTCCATTTTATTCCTGGTTAGCCTAGCCTGTCCCTTTGATCATCGCATCCAAGAAAGCTTCAATCGCCGCAGCTGGAGTGGCAGGCGTGCCAGCAGGACGACAAGGCCAGGCCGGGCCGGCCACCACCCTGCCGTCGCTTTCCGGCTTGCATCCTCCCAGATGCCAATCATCACGGCGCGCCCGCGCGCCGACCATGACATATGCCTTCTCCCGCCGGAGACGCAAGCACCACGACACACCAACGTTACCTGCTTCCGATCACGTTCACGTACGTACGCAGCCCAAGTTTCGTGAGGGGCAACGGGATTCCGCGGACACTCCGCTTTCCTCCATGGTCGATGCGTCGTCGTCGGCTCGTCGCCGCCGTCACGGTCACCGCGCGATCGATCCGTCGCGCGAACGGTGCGGACAGAGCGAGAGACCGCGTGCGGTCGTGCGGGCGGGCCGGGCAGGCTCGAGTGGCCGTCGCGTCGCGTCGACCACACCAGCAGCAGCAGCGCGGAACATGTGGGCGGGCGACCAAGTGGTGGGTGCCGTCCCACACGTACGTGTCCCTCTCCCCGCGCGTTATCCAGCCGCCGACACCCCCCGGCCCAGCCAACCTTTTGCCCGGCCGGCTCGTCTTCTTCTCCTGCCTTTTTAGTCTCCGGACAAACAAATCGAACACCAAGACGCAAAGCGACCGGCCGCGCGCACGACACGAGCGAGCGAGCTCGACCCTCCTGCTGCTCTGCTACAGCTAAGCAAGCATAGTGGGAAAGGGGAGAAAAGGCGGGCAGAGGCGTCGTCACGAGAGGCACGTCCACCGCCTGAGCTCACTCACCGCCACGCCACCGGTGCAACTTTCCATACACGCCGGGGCTAGTACTAGTCGTGTTGTTATATATAAAGGGCGAGGGGGTCGTGGGCGCTATGGAGAGGAGTAATAGCTGGTTCGGGTGGTGGAGGAAGAAGGCGCGGGAGGGGCAGGGGCAGGGCGGCGGCCGCCAACGTGACCGTGAGAAGGTGGTGGTGGACGGATCGGAGATCCGGGAGCTGGTGGAGGACCGGGAGGCGTTCGGGATGCTCGTGGACAGCAAGTTCCGCCAGCTCGACGCCGACGGTCACGGCATGCTCTCCGTGAGCGAGCTGCGCCCCGCCGTGGAAGACATCGGTGCCGCGCTCGGGCTCCCCGCGGAGGGGGCGTCGCCCAACACCGACCATATCTACTCAGAGGTATGCATCTGTGTGTTCATCGGAACTATGCTTGCAGCTTGCTGGTTTTGCTTATCATGTGTTGTTAGTTGCTACTCCTACGTAGTACTATACTTCCAGGACAAAGCTACTATGGTAGCTGATGAAGTGAGATGATCACTGGCGGTTCGAAGCATTATGTGGTTATATATGGCCTTTTCTTCATTTCTTGGTTTCTTGGAGGTTTATACATGCTGCTTTAGTTCGGGATCAACGAATAAGCCTCAAAGGCATGTGATTTTTTTCCGACAGCATGGCCCATGTTTGGAGGGCTCTGCCCCTCTGTTCCATGTCAAATTTGTAGCTTGTATAAGCTAGAACATAGTGCTTTAATATCCAGCTGTAATCAAAATAATAGAAACAAAATAACTCGCTCAAACATCCTTGATGTAGTTGACTAACGTTTTGGAGCTGAAGCTCTGCCAAGAAAAACTTTACTTCCATTTAATCTACATATATACTTGCATCCTTGACTGTGGATTCAGTTCTCAACTGATCTATAGGATGCCAGTTACCACTTCTCCCAATGAAATCGAGTCCTTGTGGATTTGGTCACTAAATCACGACAGGTCGAATTGTCCGTGCTATTATTATTGAAAAGTTGTATGCATTATTATTGAAAAGCATGTATATTTATGACATGACTGCGACTTTGGCGCGCGCGTTCTGTCAGTATCGGGCCTGTTCGGCGGAATGAAAAACACTGTTCCGACTGATTGTTGTGAGAGAAAAATACTATTCTGTCTTGACGTAATAGTATTTCTGTGAGTGAGCTGGCCAGCCGGGCCCAGGTGATACTAGCCTATCGACCACTGCCGTACACTGTACTACATCACATGTACATGCTTGGAGTGTCAATGCTTCAACAATAATTCAATTGTTAAACAAAGGAACGTTAATCATGAATTACTGATCAACAGAACAGATGGCAGATTTCGAAGGCAATGGCAGAAATCTCAGATTGATTGCAGGCTTCCACTTACCTTGTTCACAACCCTACTGGCGTACGTGCAGGTGGTGAGCGAGCTGACTCATGGGACATCCCAGGGCGAGGTGAGCAAGGCCGAGTTCCAGGAGGCGCTGTCAGATATACTCCTCGGCATGGCGGCCGGGCTCAAGAGGGACCCCCTCGTGATACTGCGCATGGACGGCGAGGACCTCAGGGACTTCGTCGCCGGCAGCAGATATGAACCCACAGCTGCTGCCATTTTCTTGCAGGTCGGTTTCGGTT